CCTGTTGTTGTCATATAGGCAGGTTTTCAAGCTAGGAATATACTTTCTTTAATAGGTGCTATTCAAATTTTATATTTCTTCCAGAGTTAGTTTCATTAATTTGTCTTCTAAGGTACTTCTTAGAAGTTGTCGAATTTATTTCAAAACAGATTTTTGTAATATGCTTTCTATATCCTTTTAAATCCTGTAAAATCTGTGGTAATGTCTCCTAGGTCTTGATATTTTAATTTTAAAAATGTAAAATTGATATTGTGTATTAGGAAGTAAAGCTCTAGGAGGGCAGGGAAGATGGGAGGGGGGAGGGGAAAGAGGGGAAAAAAATATGAGAAAGGGGAAAAAATGGAAACGGGATCTTTGTAAGTGGGGAGGAGTGGAGGGGATGAAGGGAGGGCAGGGGAAGGGGAAAAAAAAATAAGAACCAAGATACTCATGTAATGGTACAAGATCCCAATGATGTATGATGTATGTAAATGTATTTTATACCTAAAATGTACCAATAAACTTAATGATGAAAAAAAAAGATTCACCCCAGGGATCCAGGGATGGTTCAACCTAAGTAAATCAATAACTGTAATACACTATATTAACAGAGCCAACAACAAAAATCATATGACCATTTTAATAAATGCAGAAAAAGCATTAGGCAAGGTCCAACACCCATTCATGATAAAAACCCTACAGAAAATTGGGATAGTCTTTATTTCAATCTGATAAAAGCCATCTATGAAAAGCCAACAGCCATTCATACTAAATGAACAAAAACTGAAAGCATTCACTCTAAAATCAGGAACAGTACAAGGATGTCCACTACTATCATTCTTATTCAATATAGATCTGGAAACATTAGCCAGAGCAATTAGACAAGAGAAAGAAATAAAAGGAATAAAGATAAGAAAGGAAGAAGTTAAAATTATCATTATTTGAGGATGATGACATGACACTCTACATAGAAGACCACAAAAACTCCACCAAAACACTTCTAGATTTAATAACCAAATTCAGCAGCATAGCTGGATACAAAGTCAACACTCAAGGGCCGGGGATTTAGCTTAGTGGTTCCGCCACCTGCCTTACAAGAGCAAGGTCCTGAGTTCGATCCCCAGTACCAAAAAAAAAAACAATGTCAACACTCAAAATCAAGAGCCTTCCTGTACACAAATAACAAACTCACTGAGAAATTAGAGAAACAATACCATTCACAATAGCATCCAAAAGAAATAAACACCTAGGAATCAATTCAATGAAGGAAGTAAAAGACTTCAACATTCAAAACTACAGTACTCTGAAAAATGAGATTGAAGAAGGTATCAGAAAATGGAAAGATATCCCTTGTTCTCAGGTAGGAAGAACCAATATAGTGAAAATAGCCATAATTCCAAAATTCCTATACAAATGTAATGAAATCCCAATCAAAATTCCAACAGCATATCTCACAGAATTAGAGA